TAAACATAAAACTATCTCGACAGATCAGTAAATCAGCTAAATTAAGCAAATATATGCAAAGTTTCACAAGAATCTGTTGCAAAGTCATGACAATATGGGACCCCACAAACTTACTAGTTTTTACATCTAGAAATGCGTGCCAGGGGGCCAGGGAAGCATTACATCCCCCCCCCCCCCGTCCCCTGCCCCTACCCTGAACTTTATGGAAGATTAGTTCACAGTATACTCATTAAATACAAGTAAATGTTTATATTGTAGAATTAGTTTCATAGTGAATGAGTGGAAGACCTTTTGTAAGGACCCAGGTCCCTCTTTCTGTCAAAACAAAATAGTATCACAAAATAGTAATTTTCAGTTTGGAAATTCAGGTGCCAGCTTTTCAGCAAGCTGTTTCGTAGTGATTGTGATGATTTTTCAGTCTGTGTCACCTTTTTTAGCATGCTTCTGATTTTTAAAAAACCTACCTTAATAGATGGTGTACCATATGAGTTACTGTACACCTTTTTGTAGGTTCTAATTTTCACCACTTTTACTTTGGTTTTCATTATCGCTGTTAAGAAACTTTCCACGCACAAAAACCACCAATCTACAAAATTAGAAACCTGCAAAAACTACCACAAGCTGTTGAATCCACAATTGTAATTAAATTAGATAAACATTAGAGTCTCACTTACAAGTATCTGTTTGTTACTAAAAGAACTGGACATCATGAACAAGGCTGCTATTTTTTTATTTTATTTTTATGTTTATTTTTATCAGAGTATATAATGATAGCAATAATGGCTTGTTGCAGGACGATGCTTCACATAACGAGTGACTTTGTTTGTTTACTGAGGTTTGGTATTTGATTTATTAACCAAAAATACCTGACCTCAGCATACAAACAAGGTCATTTCTGATGGTCCAGGGCTAAATAAGTGGATTTTACAGTTAGGCAAGTGGGTTCTATCTTAGGCAAGTGGAGTTTTTTTAGGGCAAAATCTGAGAAAATTTAATTACCAAAGTAGTGTAAGAGATCCTATTTTGTTTTACTTTAATTTTAATTTTAGTCATCATAATCAATCATGACTGACAGATCCAAAAATCCCAGTTACAGTATGCCCAAAGGGAAACCTGGAATACAAATTTTCTTTGCACCCAGAAATCTCCTTCGTGTTAACAAGTTTGTTCTGATATAATGTGATTCATGTACTTTTAGGTGAAAGGTTAAAAGGTTATGATGTTAAACATGCTGGAGTGGCCACTCATTTTGTCACCAGTGAAAAGGTGTTTATCAATCAATTATTGTCAAAATTAAATGGGAAATGTAAATTCAGCAATATAACTACTGTTGATATAATGAAGATCCCTGTGACTGGAACAATGATTAATGCGTGAAGCTGAAACTCCTTGCTGATGCTATTGCAGCAACAGATCAAGAACAAACTCATACGATCATTGCAACTAAAGTGATAAAAAAGATAACTGAGCTGAGCCAGGCCATGTAATTAAATTGCTGAAAAGGTCACTTGGCTGTCAAAGGCGTCGATTGTTTTCATTCAGATAATGTTTGCATCAATGGCGTTGGATGCTAGCATCTTTAATTATCTTATGACCTACATGGGATATTTTTTGCATTTTTCTCGCTAATTTTTGTCAATAATTTTGATAGTTGAAAACCAGCTATTTGTATTGAGCATCTAAGAGTATGGCAGTGTGATGAACTGTTCACCACTTGTGCCACACAGCTTTACAAACATTTATGTTTGACAAGTTCAAAAGAAAACAACTCAGTTCCTGACCTTGAGAAGGATTTTCTCAAATTGGACACAGGCACAAATTAAAATAATACAGTTACTGGGAAGTTGTCAAATTGAGTCCTTTCAATCATATAAATGTATATATCTATTCAAATTTCAAGTGGCTGTTTATTTCAGGCAATGTCTGCCATAAAATAATGCAACTTTAAATATTTCGTTTCTTTTTAAAATTTTATGTTCTTTAAAATTGCTGTTTTATTTTTTGTTTGAAGATTCTTGCAAGATTGATTTTTTTTCTTAAGTGCCCTTTCTGAATTGGTTAATTTGTTTGATGAAACTGGTAACATTTTCCCTGTTTGATTTGCAGCTCTCAGACCTGGAGTCATCATTACTTAACCTTAGTGATCCACAACTGAATGATGTACAAAACGTGTTAGATGATTATGATAAAAAGGTATTAGGATATTTTTTTGGAATTGTAAGAACCAAAAAAAAGGTCAAAGAGAAAGGTGAAAGATCAAACACTACCTGATAATATTATTATAAACCTGCCAACTTTTTCCAACATGCGGGCATTAGATTTTTGTTCTGGGAGTATGAGGATTTCGGAAGATGACTTGACCATAGCTGAAGACTTCCCAAGATTTACGAGAATGTCCCAAAGATTTCCAAAGACTTTTCGAACTTTTCCCAGTTCCAATCCCACATTGTGTTTTGCCAAACATAGTATCCTCACCAGTACTTTCTCTTGAAAAATTATCAGAAAATGGAAGAAAGTGTACCATCATTTATTAGACTTCCCTTTTCTTGCATCTTGAGTTCAAGCAACAATGTATCTGGGCTAATTTAAGCACAAGACTAGTCCATAGTGGGTTTTGTTGATCATATGCTCTCAGAAAACATGCATGGGCTAGTAAGTTTGTTTATTATAATTTGAATAGGCCAGACTACCTTTGGCTAGTAGAGATTTTAATCCTCTAATTGTGAACCATAGAAATTCCTTAAAGAAGTGTAGGTAACAAAGACCTAAGATAACAAATATTCATCTCTTTACAGTGTTCTGAGGGACAAAAAGAATTTGTACTAGAAAAATTTACACACAAAATAGATAGGTAGGTAAATATTACATTTAACACTTAATAGTTATTTGAGGGTCATTACAGAAGCTGATTAAGAAGAGATACATATCAGATTTATTGATCTGTGAGGATCCCTATGTCGTTAAATGAAGTCATGATAACATAACTTCCTTAGCTAAGGAATTATGGAGAGAGTAAGGCTGAAAAAGTTTTCATGTTGAGTCTGAATGGCATTTCATTCAAGAATTTCATAACATTACAATGGAACTTTAGATAGTTACACATTTAAGGATAAATACAGGCAATAAATGAGAGGCATTTGGATGTCACAGAGGCGGGCTGGCCTAATGGTTAGTGTGCTTGACTTTGGGTCGAGCAGTCTGGGTCTGAGCCCTGGTTGGGATCATTACATTGTTTTCTTCAGCCAGACAATACTCTCACGGTGCGTCTCTCCACCCAGCTGTAGAAATGGGTACCGGTGAATTTAATGCTGGGGGTGACCCTGCAATGAACTAGCATCCCATCCCGGGGGGAGTAGGAATACTCCTAGTCACTTCATGCTACAGAAACTAGGATGAGCTCTGGTTGTATCGACTACTGGTTTGATGTAGACATTTATTTGAATGTCATCCTGGCATCCTTTAGGAGTTAAAATAAAATTATAATGGTCAAATGTAGAGGTTGTTTTTACAACCTCTACACCCTCTAGTGACGCCTCTAATATTTTATTAATTAAATGTGTAATTTGCCAAATAGCTGCTTTGATAAACCAACTTTAGAAGAGATTTTACAGGCATTGAAGGAAGATGGATCAGACTGGGCATTGAAACAAATCGAGGTAAATGTTTCCATTTTCTTAGGGTGGGACAGTAATTAGCCTCAGGCTTGGAACAACTTTCATTTATTAGAATTTTCATACAGGAATGTTTGTTGTCTTGAGACAACTGCTGCTCATAAATTATGTCAGTAGTCTCATTGCTAAATGTTTCCTATAAGACACCAAAAGGCATGTGAAGTGCTCAGCTGATAGTTGCCATTGTGCATGGTTTTCTTTCTACATGAAAAGTCTCAAAATAATTTATTTCAATACATTTAAAGTGACAAAATGCTCCTCTTTTAAGAAAAAACATTAGTTTTAAAGTAATCTTTAACCAATTTTTACAATTTATTATTTATTATAAGAAAAGACAAAACTTCCAATACTTCTTAATTATAATGAATAGAAATAGCATTTTAGAAAATGATCATTTTATAGATATACCTGTTTTAAACCAAGAATTTTGTTTTCTAGTTAATATATATTTTTTCTTCTGTTCTCAGGTCTTAAATAAAATGGTAAGTCCAAATTGATGTGATGACTTCATACATAATTTAAGTCATTTCAATTTTGTATTAATTAATTAATTAATTAATTAATTTGCAGTCCTAAATTCTACATTCCTGTCTCCCATTCCCCTGAGCAATAAAGAAAATAAAATTATGACTGTAAGGAAGGATGTCACACAGTGTTGAAGTTCATGTAGACAGCATTATTGCTGGATATGGCTGATTTTTCCATCTCTTTTCTAAAGAATAAGACATAACCTAGCAGGTTAAGTGTAGAGTGTGTGACATGTTACATTGAGTGTGTGACCGCAAGTTTGTGTACTGCAATATATGCTGGGACTTTGTGAGAGATGAACCATGTGCTCAGAGATTGTTATGTAAAAATCATGGAGTAAATACTGATTTTTGCTGGAAGCGGGCTGCTTTTAAAACCCAGATGTAAGTGTTTTTGTGTTAGCACTGGAACATAAATAAGGGGTACTAAGAAGAATTTTCAATTGAGTGTCTTAACAATGGGCATTATGCAACAAACATAAATAACACAGAAAAAACAATGAGAACTTGAAGAAAATACACCAAGTCATGATTGGTTGTCTGGTTTTTCATTTGATTGGTTGATCAAAGGCAAGAGTTTTTCATACCAATCACAGAGTGTGGTAAAGCAACACGAGAGGAGTCGATTTCTTTCAGCATTGAATAGAAAACTTCCCCAGAAAACAAAATTGACACCGATACTGGTAGATAATTATAATAAATTAGTTCAAGAATGAATTTTAACTCTTACTTTGAATGTTTCTTGTTGTCTCATTACTTAGTTGACATGAAAAATGTGTTTGCTGGATCATGAGTGATTGATGAGTACATCAACCATAAGATTTTCTTTTTATTTTCTAGTCTCCAATATCTTTGAAGATAACATTAAGGCAGCTGCAAGAAGGAGCAAACTTGAGCCTAGGAGAGTGTTTAAAGATGGAATACAGATTAACCCAGAGGTGTATGGTAAGCATACTTCAATTCGTAAGGGTTATCAGTATTAAATTCTTACGATACTTTGTCAGTGTATTGTTAAGAAGTCAGCTGATAAGAATAAACAAAATTATCATGTAAGGGAATTGTCTTGATTATGTCAAAGTCAATAACCAGTAGTCTCGGAAATGACAATAAAATTATTAATTGGCAATGGAAAGCTACCTATTTCCAGTTTGAAATTGAAAATTTTGGTGAAAAATAACTGTTCCTTTTGTGACTTAAGTGATATGGCAGATTACTTACTGAGCTGATAGTTCATTTAGTGGAGTCATCTAAAAATGCATGCTACATGCATGCATACTCTAAAAATGGTGACTGATGTTTCCAAACTGAATGGAAGGTTAATAAAGAATTATTCATCAATGGATGGTCTCAAGTCTGCAAAATGAAACTAGTTGGTCAGTTTGTCTTCTCCACCTCTGAGGAAAAGTCTGTGTATCTGAGTATTCCTCTAGAGATTGTTTGCAGAAATGTGCAAGTTTTTTTAAAAACTCTTTAAAAAGTGATATTGCATGTTTGGAGAAGTTGCACGAGTATATTTTAGAAAACAATCAACTTCTGTTTGTTTGCAGGCGGATAATGATTTTTATGAAGGGATAAGAGCTGGTAAGAACTGTTCAACAATCTTGCCATTAATTTAAAGCTTACATATTAAAAAATAAGTAAATAGTGAGAGTATATTACATGGCCGCGCAGAGAAACAAAATTTCTCGACTGTTGAAAAGTTCCACGAATGAGTGCAGCAAACAAGTGAAATATTTTTCAGCATGAGAAGATAAATTCTGTATCTCTATCATGTAAAGATGGTGTGAACATAGAGAATTTACATGTTGATGATCAAAGTAGACAAGTCTTTTTTTGTTGCAGAATTTTCTAAAAGAAATAGAAAACAAGTTTGGGAGAACTCGAAAAAGCTGTGGAAACACTCACCTATCACCTCATGTTCCCACAGCATTTCTGAGGGTTCCCAATATGTTTGGCGGGATGCGGGATTTGGCTTTTTTTCACAGTGATATTCAGGATTTAAGCTGAAAATAGGGGCAGGAAGCGGGAATTTCAGTTGCGTGTGTGAGCGGGATTTCGTGTTTTTATAGGGTTGGGATGCGAGATTGTCGAGGGAAACAGAGCGGGATATGGAATTTCAATTCCAACGTGACTTCATCATAAGTTGACCAGCGGAAAAACTGCAAGCTGGCGGAAATAAACCTTTTGTGCGTATAGCTGTGTCAGGTTTCAAGTAAAGAATAGCAACGGCTCTGTGCCCATTAAATATTATCGCTTACCCTACGTATCAGACAGTATGAGGTCTTTGAGTCCTATTGTGATCTTTTGTGTTGGCCTCTGACATAAATGACATTTGTCCATTTCCGACATTTGCCTCCGTATTCTTGACCTCAGTGTTCTCAGTCCTGATCTTTTCTAGTTTTTCTAGTCTTCGACGTCTTTCGACCTTTTTACGAGCGCTAAGTGGTTTGTTGTGGCCAGTATGGCCACTCCAGATAGCGGTGACAGTAATTTACCGAACGAACCAGAAATGAAGTATGCGACATTATATTTTGCGTCGCCATTTATTATGAAAAGGGTGCAAGCGGGAATGCCTTCCTTCGGAAAGAAAAGTTCCAAGCACAGGTTTCACGGAAAGTGAGGACGCTCAAAGCTTTAAAAGAAACTGTTAGGTGTGTTTATTTTTTAAACCTTGGCTGCATTCGACTTTTTAGACCTTGTAGGCCCTTTTATTGTGATGTATTCCCGGTGTGTCTGGTCTGATCAGGCATGACCTTCATGCCCTCTGCTTTATGCTGTGACTGTTATGATCATTCTGAAATGGTCTCGTTAACAGAAGTGGTTAATAATAAAAGTTTATGTGTAAATAGATGCATATTATTTAAAATACCTCTTGTTTGAATCGCACGTAAAGTTAGTGTCAACGGGTATGCTTTCCTCAAAGAGCRAAAAGAAGAATTAATATGAAAATATTATATATATTTCCGGTTTCAAATTCTTCGCACGTGGACGGCACATGAGACTTTCTATGTCAAAACCAGCCTCATTCCCAGGGTCTCTCTTCCTCCCGACATGGGCTTAGGGACAGACCATCAGGCGGGAGTGGGAGTTTTTTTGTGGCGACTGTTTATACAATAATTTATTTTACAAGATGAAATTCTCTGCACGATTTCTTTTCGGAATATGACAGGGAAATGAACTTCCTGCTAGGGAGTGTCTACATTCGGCCCTGCTGTTCGGTTCAATAGCAGGTTAATGTTCTGCTAAAATACTCAATTAACATTTTTTCTTTTTTTCCAACAATTTGATTGTGCATGTTTGTACAACTCAATGGATGGAGATGATACGGACCAAATCTTCCTGTCTGACTAAAAAGCATGATACATAAGAACAGGATTAGGGCCCATTGAGCTAGCACCCGATCGAATGTCAGACGCACGAACTAACACACATTGCATACGATAGGCCTTTCATGATCTTTTCTGCAATGTTTATTTTTGTAAAGTTTCTGCGTTAATTATTTAACAAATTAATGATTAACAGAAAAACGTTATGGAAAAGTAGGCGGGATCGGGATTCCCAAGTAAAAAAGGGCGGGATGGCGGGATTAACAGGAAAAAATTAGCGGGAAAGCGGGATCTGAGAACCCTATTGTGGACCCTCATTTCTCATTCTCCCAAACTTCCACTTGTGTTTCTATTACACAATAAGATTATGAACTCAAGATTTCTAACTTGTGATAGCTGATGAGGGCGCAGCCCAAGTCAACTATCAACCATAGAAATCGAGAGCAAATAATCTTATTATTTTAGTATAAATCTACTAGACGTCCAAAACTTTATCTAAATCCTCTTCATAGACACTTCAAAAACACCAAGAAGCAGCCGTCATTTTGTTAATATGAGAACACTGCTATGCCACTATCTATCACAGAATAGATAGTGAGTAGCATAGCCAATCAGAGAGTGGCATTCATGATAGAATGCTGGTGGATTTATACTAAAACTTGATAGAAACACAGAACATGTTTTCTATTTCTTAAATAAACACAATAAAGTACCAAGCCATTTCACTTTCACTGCAGAAAGTGTAATTTATTTTGTAACCATAGCAACAGTGAGCTTTTCCAGTGTGAAGATAACAAGTTATTTTCAATTGTGAAGGTATCATGTTTTTGTGCGAAAGCTCACCTGGTATTTCATTTGCCTAATCTTAATAAAAATTTGACTACAAGGCCAAGCTTTCTATGAGAGAATAGTTTATGAGGGGCAGCCAATTTGACTATCACTTATAGAAACACAGAGTAGAAGTCAGATTTTTCGAGTAGACGCTCAAAAGGACAGCATTCCAAAACCTATAATTTATGTAATAAATGAATGATTTCCCCTCTCAAGAGCACCATGCGTGAAATTATTCTATCAGTGAAAAGACAACAATGGAAGACTCCATTGGATTTGTGGATCTCCAGTGGAACACATCAAGTGTCTACTAATTGACAAGATAGTAAGAAAATAACATGACAGGTTGATTGCTATGCTAGGTACAAGTATGTGTGGTTAACAACTAATCCTGCAGCTGGGAACATGTAATGTGTGTTTGAGAGTTTTTATTTCCTTTCATCTCATGTCTTGTTGAATCTTGTCATTTTGTTTCAGTTTTAGTGGACAAAGATAACAGTCCCAAGTGGCAGCCAAGTACTCTAGATGCAGTGTCGAAAGGAAAAGTGGATAGCTATTTTGAAACTTTAGGAGACCGAGAACTTGTTCTTTAACTTTACTTACTTTCCTTAAATTAACAGTGATGGACAATCAATGTTGGAATCATCTCAAGAAAGTGTCAATAATGAGCAATAATAAGACAAAGAAAGGAAAATCCACAGTAAGAACTTTCTTGTTGACAGAGTCGTTATTGAGAAGTACCAAAATTCAAAAGAAGATGAAAACTATCAAGTGTTTTATATGGATGGGTTATTAGGGTACAGGGTGGCAGTTTTTAGCACATGAAATAAATCAGATAAAAACCTATGTTTGCCAATCTCTTTTTCACTTTTTAAAGGGAACGCTTTTAAAGTGAAGAAAGAATAAAATGAGGTCGGAGAACTAATGGGTCCAAATCCCTTTGAATATCCGTTTACTTTGTGTGAAAATTTTAAATGTATAAAAAGATGCAACATTTTGTTAACTTCTTACGAATTGAGCCTGAAAGACCGAGTGAATTGATACCAAAGTGAAAGACATATATGAGAACATTTCACTTTATTTTCATCCAGTATCATGAATTGTCTCTACAGTGTGCCAACCACAGACAAATACTTGTTAAACACATTCCTAATTGCCGCTTGTGACATGTAACAAATTCAGACTGAGCTCTAGTCCTATGCCTACAGCTGTATCAAGTGCATAAAAAACAAGGGTCAAGGGTTAGCAGTAAAAGACCAGTTAAAAGTGAACAATGTTATCTACTTTTAATCAAGTATAAATGAAAACAACTTTGCTTCCTGTTTGTCTTGATATAGTTGTTGTTTGTTTGTTTTTTCAAATGGAGCTTTTTTTTTTAAAGTTTTCACCAAAAAGCTACTTCTAGTTATGTTCACTAGCTTCTTTTATTTCTCTCTTACTTTCCATTGTAAGTAAAGTTTTATAGTTAGGTCTACTTTGACAACTACTCAACATGACAAAAATTATGCACATGTATATAAAACAAATCAAATTTGTTCGTGAACTGGTTAGTAAAATTATAAAGTAACATTGGGTGCTTACCATTTGTCAGAATGAACCAGTTGGGATGACCATTGAATAATGGTGAGGGTTTTTCCAAAATCAGCAAACCAACCAAACAAGATGGTGCTAATTTGGCTGAGGAGAGACCAGGAAACTGGAAAATTTAGCAAATGGTAAGGAAATTTCTGCCATTCCATTCCAAAGGGAAAAAGAATAGGTACCTCTGGAGGTAGTCTACAATTTCCAAACAGATTTTCTGAAAAATTACTATAACAGTTCCATTTGACTTTCAACCAAAATTTCCAGATTTTTTGGCAAATGGTAAGCACCAAAGGCAGCCCATTTTATCACTTGCTCTACACATGGCTGAAAAACCAAAAAAGGCTGCTTTTACATGCTAAGCGAACATATTGCACAAGAACACCTTGTTTGCCCTTATTCTCCATTTCCTGACAGCATCTTGAACATGTTAAATCTACTGACAACTACATACTACAGACTTTTTATCACCAAAGTATAACAAACTTCACACCAAACTAAAAATGTCTTCCTAAACACATTAAGCGACATGTTGTAATTTAGCAGCATCGTATCTCTCTGCCACATTTGCCCAGTTGACAACTTTGTGAATGGCCTTCACATAGTCTGGGCGTACATTCTTGTACTGCAGGTAATATGCATGCTCCCACACATCAATTCCAAGAAGAGGCACCCAACCTGAATGAAAGCAATCCATGGTAATATTAACAAATAAAGAAAGCTTCAAGTATTCTTTGTTCTTGAGTAAATGATTTTGATAAGTCAATCAACTTTATTTGCCACTGTTTGTCCTTACATAAATCACCTGACTTAACAATAATTTTGCTTATCTCAAGTTTTGCATCTTAAACTTTACACTAATCGTATTATCATGGCAGCAATCTTCATGACATAACACAACAGAACTAAAGATACAACATTTATTCCAGGAGTATCAGTAGTTTGTTCCTCCCGTTAAGGGTATACTCCCAGGGTCAGATTAATTATTGAAGTCTCCTAAGTGCAGATGAATGCTAAATAGATAAGAGAGGGTCACAATTTTATGCCTTCAAGGAGCAGTTCTTTACAAGAAAACTTTGATACCAAAAAGTCATCAAAGTATTTTGAATATTTGCAAAGCTATGATGCTGTGAGCCATTTGGCACTCTCAGGGAGTAAAGGGTAAACACTAGGCTTTGTTTTCAAACTGCTTTATCAGGGTGGTTCCAGAGGTTTTGTCTTTTCCATTTCCCAGTCATTTATAAGCCATGAAGAGGTGGAAAAAGGTTGCGAAGTGATGAGCAAGAATGGCATAGTTTTTTTACTGAGCAGAAAGAAGGGAGAAAATCTCTGAACCAGCATACATGTAGCAATACTTTGACTACACCTTAATCAGGAACATAGACCCTACAAAGGTCTATAAAGGATGGCTATTGGTGGTAGACAGTAGAATCAGAATTAATGATGGGGCAAAAAATAATACTCTTAGTAAGTCACTTCATGTTCTCTGAACGTTATCACTGACATACAGGATCAGCCTGCTTTTTGCGTTCGACAGTTCTAATCGCATAATGCATAAAAATTTGAGACCTGTGTATCTATCTATCTATAGGGGGACACCAATTTGCCCCCCCCCCCCCCAAAAAAAAAAATTCTTCAGGGGTGAATGACATCATGTCCATTCTCGTTGCATCTCCATGTGTTTATTTGCTGTTACCGGCAAGTTGCGTATTTGAAGTTTGAAGTTAGAGTTATGGCATTAAATGACCTTGTAGCTAAGATTTATCGATGTCTTCACGAGATGTATACGACTTTTGGGACAAACACAAAGGTGCAGTTCGGCTACATGTTGTGATCTGTTGTCTACCGTCTTGTCTTCGACCAAAAACCAACACTGCTTTGTGCTGAATAAATCGATGGAGGAAATGTGTCATTTCACTTTGCTGGCTTTGATTTCTGTGCACAAAAT